TAATAATCCTAACGTTTTTTCTCTTGTGCCCTCAGTGTTCAGGAGAGTATGTCAATTCGATTCAAAAACATGTAATTTCTATGTCTATATGTGCATGTGCCTATATTATTATACCTGTACTTGAGCAATTTCTTAGATTCAAATGATGGATGCGATGGCTTGGATTGCCAACATGGCCAAGATGAAGAGTCATGTAAAGGCTTACAGATTTTAAAATTCTTCCACCACATCTTTTATATATGGTCTTCAATTTTGGATTCTTGCAAAGATTTAGAAAAAAAGACTGCAGAATATATTACTTTTATATAATTCACTTTAAGAAAGTAATATCCGATGCCAACATGATTTACTGATCAGCTAGTACATGGGGGACTCAATAAGAATTAATGAAAGTTATGAGGCCCTAGAAAAGTAGCAAACTCTCCCATATCACAGACAGATAACCATATCCACCCATACAGCACTGAAATACTAAAATCGTATCTTAATATTCCTACTGACTTCTAAATAAATGTTAACTTCCCATTTTTACTGAAGCTCAATATGACACACACTTCTGGCATATTTCTATTTAGCATACCCTCCAACAGGTCACACGTATGGAGTGAATGAAGGCCCTACTACATTAACAGCCTTTTCCTGTGGCTGATGCCAGATTGTTGAATTTCCTCTCAGCTAGCTCCCTACTTGTAATATTTCCACCAGCAGGCTAAGACCTTCCTCTTTAGAAGACAAGGTGCATACAGACAACTTTGACAACTGGGCTGCTACCAGGGCAATCAGCATTTTAATGTGGTTTTAAAATGTTATTTGTTGTATTTAAACTATTGTTTTTAACTAGTTTATTTTTATTACTTTGTACTTTAAAATAAAAATTTTCTGAGTATTTTAAAAGAGTCAATACACTAAGATACAGGAATAGGTATGAGCATGATGTGAATCTACACACATGGGAGTAAGGCTCTGAAGTCCATTTTATTTTTGTCTGAATAAACAAGTTTAGCTTTGTACTCTAACATAGAAACCATATTATGTGACTATAAGAATGCACAGGTCTATTCATCACAGTGCAACAATTTTTCTTACTCAAAAGATAAAATCATTCACATGCAACACAAATTAATGGGTTTAAATACTGGGACATACTGGGAACACTGTATTTCATAGTTCTGAACTGTGATCATTCTTTATCCACACATACCACTGTCACTGCTGCTAGAAGAATCATCACTTTCCTCTTCCTCCTCTTCTGATTCAGAGTAGAATCTTTCATCAGTGTGTTTCTTTTTCTTTTCCTTCCCTAATATTGAAGTCCATTCTTTTGCCTATTCATGTTTTTTTAAAAGAAGAACACATAGTTAAAAAGTTGTGATAAATTCTATTTACAACCATGAACACTCTCTTTTCTGGCCAGTCACACAGGAGTGCATGCACACACACAGAAGCAAATATAATCTAACATATAAATAAGGGGAATTGTACTGAGCACTCCTAAACAAACATTTAAACCAAAAAGTTAGAATAATCAATGTGGCTTTCAACAAAAAATATTAAAAACACAATCCAATTTTATCTCATCAAGTTATTTGTGTCAACTGTAAACACATCTATCTTTACTTTGCAAAAAATAAAGAAAAATGACTGGAATGTTTATTTATTGTTTACTCTTTCCTATTATATTTTATCCTCTTTTACTCTATTATACACATTTGGATGATGTGCTTTATGTCCTTCATTTTTTGCTTTCTTGGTGCTGGTCTCTGATGGCAATAATAAAGATTTGATTTGAAAAATTAATGAATATTCTGATCAATAAATATGTTTAATAATAGAAGGAATACTTCAACATGTGCCCTGGCTTTGCTTCTGCACAGACAGCAGAACATTTTTATCCTGGTATTGGAGGAAGGAAACCAACTTTGTTATGCCAACCAAATAAAAATAAAAATAAGAAAACCTCCTAAAAGGTTCAGTATCTACCTAGATTCAATCCACTAAGTTGCACAACTTCTCTTCAATCATCAAGATGTGCTGTGGGCAGCCATCTCTACGCAATAGCCCCAATTCAACTACTTATTTTAGACCAATTGTGAGCATTTTGGTGGTGTTGAAAGGCGAATATGCATTAGCAGTTTGCATTATCCAAGAACAGATATTAAATCTCTTGATGTTTGCAAATCCTAGTAAACCACATGATATTCAGATTAAACTTGGAAGGCTGAATTAATTACTGGAAGTACACATATACCAGCAAGCAAAGCTGGAAACAGAGTGACGGAAAGAAAATATATACAAAGAAGATACAGCAGAGGAATATGAAGGGTTTCAAAGTAGCCAACAGCGGCTGAAAGGACATTTTACAATAAGTTTATTGAAACCCAATTGGAAGTCTTGGTAAGTAAAGTAACCCCCCTGTTCCTAAACACACTTGCATAATTCCAAGCTCCCAAAACAACAATATTATTTTGAAAAGTCAACATACCGGCTCAATTACTTCTACATTTCGCACTGAAGGGTCAGGTGCAACCTCTGGCCAATCAGACAACTCCAGATAGCCATTGGCTTTCATGTTCAGAGTATGAGACAAAGTACCAAGCTGGAAGTGCTCCCTATCTGTTGGGGGTGGGGGAGGGAAAGAGGTGAAAAATATACTGACATGAGCTCTATATCACAAAGAGCAATCTTAATCAGGACTAAAGGTAATTGGCGTTACATTACCTCAAATGTCATGGAATAAATATAAACTAGGAAGCTCTTCATAGGTCAAAAAACTGATTCCAGTCCATAGATTACAATAATCTCACCCATAATGGTCAATAAAAAAGCTAATCAGTCAGTGTGTTTAGAGGTGTTGCTCTGAAATGTAGCTTCTCTAAAAATTACTTTACTGTGAATATTAAGAATGACAGCACAGTTAAATAATCCATATACATGTCTTGGCACAAACACATCCAGAATTTTAATAGTTTTTTCTTTGCAAGGAGTGCTGCTTTCAGAGTTTAAAGCAGGATTAAAATACCAAAGTATGATTTTTTTAAGAAAACAGTTAATGTACATAATAAAATTACTAACCGGGGCCACAGGATTATTTTAAATAGAACAGGGAGCAATGGAGGGTGTAACTCACAGCAGTTTAGTCTATAAAATGGCTTAGGAGCCAAAAATACCAGTAATCCTAATATACCAAAGACAAACTTAATCTGGAAGTAACTTTAGTTTGATGCTTCTCAATCATAATAAAAAAGCCACTCCAGAAGTTCAAAGTTTTGTGAATGGCCAAAGACCTTTCTACACTGACTATGATTAGTACAAAGATAGCAGTTTTTATTATTCAGAAAAGGTAAAATATAGACATTACAAATTAAGTTTTTAAATTATTTTGGATTACCAGATACCATTAAATGTCAGAATAAGAAAGAATTTAGAGTTGACCACTCTCCCTTAAAAAATTGTGAAACTAAAATCATGTTGCTCATTTACAAATTGTAAGCAGACTATTTAGCAAAATTTGTTTTGGTGACTTAAGAATACAGATCTGCAGATCTGCAAATAAGATTTGGTAGAAAATTTGACTGACAAACCTTTAAAAGGAGACTCGAGCACTGGGGCAGGCTTCTGTGCCAGAAATATTTTTTTGGCATATTTGCTTAAAGCTCCACTCTTCTCATTTGGAACAATGAGCTGCCTAATAAATCTTGTACGGTCTCTGATGTCGTAGCTTTGATCATACTTGCCGAGATTTAATATGTACTGGGTAAGCAATTTTGTCTGTGAAAAACAGGGCAAGAAGAGAATACAAGTTATTTATGATTATTGATAACTCTGGATAAACATATTTAAAGAGGTAATAAAAATGAATGGTTATGTCAAACAAATGTTGTTCCATAGGGAATATGCATTTCTAAAGCAGTAAATGGAATTTTGAAGCCAACGCACATGTCCTCTTCTGTATTGGGGAGGTGAATGCTGAGTACTGAGAAGCAGCCATGTGCTAGATTATTAAACTGCTGAAGTGGAAAGAAAGGCATCATTAAAAAAATAATCATATATGGCAAACCCGCTGAAGGGCCTACGTGAGAATAATGAATGTGGAAATACAACTAAAAACATGGCACTCAAAACTTAATCGGAAAAATATGCAGGACATCAAAACATCAGAGGGTATTAGGAGGCTGGCAAACTGCTTCTGCTGAGGTGTGTTTTATGAAGAGATACTGTCCCTGGCATAAGCAGTGTCTGCACTCTGACTGCACTCAGTTACTTTACTCTGAATTATGACCCATTAAAGCAGACACATGAATCACTGAACTGGATTACTGCAAATTATTTGCAGTGCATTTAGCTGTTACTTTTTCATAAAAGCAAGCTGCTGATGCCCTCTAAAAACCAGGATAAAAGACTTCTTCCCTTTCCCCCCTCACAGCTTAAAGCTTCTGGTAATATTGGTCATTTATTTATATACGTAAAAGCCGGTTATATTATCACAGCTTTTTATAGCATAACCAGACTCTCTAATTTGATGTGTAGGAATATTAATTATTAAAATTACCCAATGCATGTTAACCTTAATAACTGCGTAAGAGAAAATTAGAAACATTATACAAATAGTCCACGGAATACATTTTGTATAAATGTATACAAAAGTGCAATAGATACAAAGATCAAAACACAGTATCACTTAAAAGTGAAATATGCATATGTTATAATTCTTCAGTTGAAGAAAAGCTGCAAATCTTATTTGAGTTTATAAAAAGACACATCCTTCAAATTCACAGAATTAAACTCTGATATATAAGCATGCTTTCCCCAACAAGATTTATATTGAAAAAGTGCAATCTCTTTGAAAGAATTTTCTCATGATGCAGAATTGAATATTTTGTTGCTCTATAATTATGCCTGAAGAATGTTAAGTAGTATACACTGTAAAATGGACAATTATCTTTCTTTGAAGATATCCAATAGTCCTTAGTTCAATATATACTGTTTCATTAGAAATGCAATTCAGTGTTGTTTTGAATGATTTATTTTGACTACAAAACTGCATTAAGTGAAACCAGTGGCATATGATTGTGGCTGCTACTGATTATGGAATATTAAGGCAAGTTGGAAATTTCAGGGGCTTCCAGCACTGAGAAACCAACAGAAAATTGCTGAAACAGCAGATCAAACCCATCAATTCTGTTCTGATTCTTAGTGCTACTGATGCCAGACACTGTCAGGACCAGTTTCTGCCTACTTCTCTCTGACTAAAGAAGGGCGTAGCAAAGTTACTAAAGGAGGAAAATTATCAGCTGGAAACAGAAGGAAGAAATTTGGAACAAATGTACTGTTTGTTATGCTGATCAAAACATGGAAACACTCAAAATTTGGCAGGGCAGCCCTTTTCTTAAATAGCCTTACAGGTGATGGTTAGATTTCAAAATGTCAACTGAAACTCAGTTACACTCGGATATGACCCATTCAGTTTGTGAAAAGGAAATCTGGCAGACTTATTATTGCTGAAACACCACTGCCCAATCAAAAAAGCCAAACATGAAGTTCTAAGTCCTGTAAAAATCTTTCTATACAGAATATTGACTACAGTATTATGTTGGATGGTAGAGGACATTTAGCCTCATGCACCTTTCTTCCTAGAAGACACTAATGAACTCATGGATTTTGGAGATATAATAATGCAGGAAATTGTTGTAAAGGCAGATAAAAATCATACAATCTTGATCAGGCATAATTCAGTAAGTTTTTGACAGTTTGAAGCAAATCACTTAAACACTGTTTATCTGTTAACTCCCAAACATAAGGAACAGATATAAAAAGAATGGCCTAAAATCAGTTCTCAAAACCGGTAATTGCTTGCCCTCCACCAACTACAATTGCTTCCCTGCTTGAAGGTAAGGTGGATTTTGAGGAGCAGAAGGAACAAGGCTATTTGGCTGGCCATTTGCCCTTGTTCTTGAAGGTGCTGGATAAACCCAAAATGATCAAGGGACTGCAGCAACTCCTCTATGATTAAAGGTTAAAGAGTTTGGGTTATTTAGTTTAATTTAGATTAGAAAAAAAGCTAAATGGGGGGACATTCTGGAGATGAATGAAATTATGGATGCAGTATGGAAAGCAGATAGATGCATTTTTCACACACATATCATACTAGAACTGGGATGATCCAATAAATCTGATAAATACCTAAGGGCACTTGGGAAAGAACCAATGAAGGCAAATAATGACTGAAAATGGGGGGAAAGGGAGAGAGATTAATTTTGCTTTCAACAAATCTCACTTTAGGTGTTACATATGAACCAGGAATCCTGCTTTATAGGCAATATTTAACTAACCCATGGTTTGAAATTGATTTGTCTGTCTATTTTATAAACCACAAACCTATTTGTATATGACTGTAAGCTGAGATTCTGAACTTTTCTGCTGCCATTGAGACTTGATGGCTACTATGCATGATAACATTACTACATCCAGTGTCAGAGGCAGTATATGTCTCTGAAAACCAGTTGCACAAGTGAGGAGAGCGCTTATGTCCTGCTTGTGGGTTTCCGACAAGCATCTGGTTGACCACTGTAAAAACAGGGTGCTGGACCAGATGGGACCTTTGGTGTCATCTAGCAGAGCTCTTCTCATTGATTCTCAAATCTTATTTCAACTGAAGATTTATAGTATTTGAATGGCAGAGGCATGTAGTTTTAAAATGTTTTGGAGTTCTGTTTGATTAGTTTGTACTGAAAGATAGAATCCAAAGTTGCACCTGATCTTGGGCAATTTGTCACTCCCCCTGCAGCTGCCTGTACCAGAGCCCATACAAGAGACTGCTGTGGAGAGAAGGGCGTGGTCTTCTGCTCAGTCAGTATTGGAATAAATCCAATATCTATGGGTTCTGCATTATGTCCAAGTTGTATGAAACTGTATGTCTTTGGATTAAGGTGCATCTTTTCACTGAACTGTCAAACAGGTTGTACACTAAATGTACACAGGTTTCCTAGGTTGTAATTATTTTGGAAATATCTTTGGCCTTTTAGACAAGTTTTAGGATTCATCTTTTCCTCTTCAATCATTTTATTATATGACTAACCTTGGGTATGCTGATGAATTTCTGAACCAAGGAAAGGGAGAAGGTTATTAAAAGGATATGAATACTGTAACTCTAAAGCTTGACACCTCTTTACTTAATGTTAGTAAATATGTCTAAACAGACTTGTGTTTTAGTTTTCTCTCATTCTTACCTGCTTTGAGTTGGTTAAATATAATTTTGCTCCAAGATTTAAAATTTGCAGCTTCACAAGGTCATCTTCATCAGTGAAGCTCTTGGCCAGTTTTCTTAAAACATCAGGGGCTATTTTTGGAACTCGTTCACAGTATTCTCCAGTAAGCCAAAGAATGCTGGCCCTAGCCACGGGAACCTTAAAATAAAAAATGAGTAAACACACAATAATTTATGCATTTGTGAAATACATTTCCTCAATGGTATGTACGTTGGAAAAATTAAGATACTTGAAATAAAACCATGACAGTCAAACTAATGGTAAATTAGTATCAAATGCATACTTAGGACTAGTATAAGGCACAAAAACAAGACCTTAATAACAAATACTCAGTTTTAAGAAGCCTTCACTTCACAAGAGAAATCCTAGCCCAGGAGCGGGTAAGCCTTCAGGTTTGCAGAATACTTGGTTATTTTACCGGACTCCAGACAGCCACGAACTGGATTGGGTGCAAAACCAAGGCAAAGGAAGGTGAGGGGCAGAAAGCCAGGCACAACATGGTGGTTCAGAGGGAACAGTCATTTTTACCTACTGTAGGTTTTGGGGGGGGCACTGCATGTACAAATACAGATTTACAAAAGAATGACTAGAGATCAAGGTTTTTAACAGTATAATTTTGCTATTGGGAACAGAAGTCTTTTTGCTGTTGCCATTGTTAAACAACTGGGAATTGGAAACCACTGCCACTCTACCATGAGGCTTCTCAGTAGATTCTTGTCTAGTTCCTGCCCTAGTTCATCAGAAACTGTTGGATGAAAGACTCAATGTGTGAGTCTGATAACCTTCAATAATATGACAATTATGAATGGCACATGCATTTAGATTTGTTTGCTGGTTACATATAAAACCACAAAAAATGAGTTATGCATACCTATATGTACCATGAGAAAAATAATTTACACATACAGTTCATAACTGACATGTGAATACTTTGTACTCTGGTATCCAAACCCATATGCAAAACATATTGTAACTGGGCACCCAGCATAAAAAAAACATCTTCATGCTACTAACAAGATTCTAAATATTGGGAAATGTTAACATGCTCGCTTTACAATGTAACTTTTTTGTGTTTGATATGTTCCAACACCTGCTCTTCACAAGCCTCCTAAATAGTCCTATGCCAATCATATTACTCTTTTATCAAACCTTGGCTCTGTTGCCAACTCAGCTACCAATGCTAACAAAAAGAGCTGAAGAGTAGAACAGTACAGTGGTACCTCGGGTTAAGTACTTAATTCTTTCCGGAGGTCCGTTCTTAACCTGAAACTGTTCTTAACCTGAAGCACCACTTTAGCTAATGGGGCCTCCTGCTGCCGTCGGAGCACGATTTCTGTTCTCACCCTGAAGCAAAGTTCTTAATCCGAGGTACTATTTCTGGGTTAGCGGAATCTGTAACCTGAAGCATATGTAACCCGAGGTACCACTGTATAGTGGTACCTCCGGTTACGAACTTAATTCATTCCAGAGGTCCGTTCTTATCCTGAAACCGTTCTTAACATGAGGCGTGCTTTCGCTAATGGGGCCTCCCACTGCGTGCCTGCCTCTAGCGCACGATTTCCACTCGCTTCCAGGAGCACCTACTTCTGGGTTAGCAAAGCTCATTACCCGAAGCGTTCGTAAGAAGGACGGTACATAACGAGAGGCATTACTGTAGTAAACAATGATGCTTCATTTATCATGTTCATATTACTCCTCAACAGGAGGGCAGCAATACTTTAGATTGACCAGTTGAACATTGTTGCCATCCAGAAATGTTGAGCTCCAGCTCCCATCAGCCCCTTCTAGAGTGGCCAATGCTTGGACTATAATTCCCATCATCCATAACAATACCTGGAGGGCTACAGGTTTCCTTCCAACTAGGATCACAAGATGGTGATTAAATTGCTATTACTGGACAAGCTAACTAGGATGGCTCATACTATGAGGCAAAGTTGTCATGCCATAGATGTAATATTTTAGAAACTGCAACTGCTTTTTTACGCTACTTTGCCATACCTTTGGGATACTCACTTTGATTCTTCTCAGTAAATGATTAAGGCTTCATCATGTACATTTTACGTATCTATGTGCATGTTCTGAATCACCACAAATACAAGATCTATGGGCATCATATATTTAAGCACTAGTCTGGTTACCACAGTCCAAAAGAGATCATATGAAGGTGAATGAGCAGGCTGACAGGAGAGGGATGGAGCGCTCTGTCCGTCTTGTGCATGCAGAAAAGAAAAGCAACAGGCTACTGCATGAAGAACTTCTCCATCCCTCCTCTGCAAGCCCTTAGCTGGCTAGTATTTTTTTTAAGGGTGGAGCAAAGCTAGTACCTTTTATGATCTTGTTTACAAAACTGGCCTACGAATTTCTGTGAGATGGATAGATGTCAATTCACCCTCAAAATTATGTTCCAAGTAGCATGTATTTCAAGCATGTTAGCATATTTTATTATGGCTCCTCCTAGCTCACTTTTTCTCAAATTCAAAACAGAGATGGCATGTTCAAGTTAACCAAAAGAAAATGCAATCTACTACATTCCTAATCTACCTAACCATTTATTTGATTGATAAGGTAACTACTACTAAATTATTTGTCATCTATCAGAGAAAGTGAGGATGCAAGCAAGAGAAAGTTAGTATACAAATGTTAGAATATACTGATAACACAAACATGACTGGCTTAACCATGATATAGAGAGATACAAAACTAGAATATGCACACAAATATTCTTTTATTGACATCTTACATCCATGCAATCATCTGTGAAATAGTAACCTGCATTTTAAAACACATGTAAGTTTAAAATGAAGTATTCCAATGCTCAAGAGCTGCAGTGTAGTAGGATCTAACTGGATTGGTCCCTTGAATTTAAATTACCTATATATCAAGAAATAACTAACTAAAAAAGGTCTCCTTTCCAGTCTTCCACATCTCATCTTTCCCTTGCCCCAAGGGCAACACTATTTGGAGATATTGATTTACATGAATCTTTGAATCTTGGTTGTTGTAGGACAGTTAATATATTCCTGTGCATGACTCAAAACACATAAAGGTCCAGTAGCTCACCCACTATTTTAGTTCATTGGATCTATTTTAACTTACATTAATATCCTGAGTTATTCTCAAGTAAAAAACCTCAGTATTTTTTAAAAAGAAGAAGAAAGGTTTGCTTAACTCTTGGTCACCAGACGAAACATAAATGCCCATTTCACTATTTGTCTGTTTACTTCTAGTGGAAAGGTTTTCATGATTTATGAATTCTCTTGCCCCATGAACATGAGGAACAGATGTAAATTCTCAAGTGACCTTAAGTGTCATACAGAATGTGCTCTCTAAAGTTTGTGGGACCTAAGTCATCTAGTATGATAATCTTCAACTGGTGAAACTGGGACCCAAGCTAGGTTACAACAATAGCACTACTACCATTCAAATTTAAAGCAAATAATTAAGAAATGGATCACCAAATGCATGTTTGCGTTATAACTGAGTCTGCTCTAGGAGGCTATAATGAGAAACACAGCTGTGAATTATTGTCTAAGGCTCCAGGAAAATAGCCCTGAATGCTGATATATCCTGCAACCCACCACCTCTGGTCCATTTATGCCAAGATATAAGCCAGTTTGCTTCTGCACTGATGCATTCTGCATCAACCACAACCTTTAAACAGTCTTCAAGGTCAGCCTCAACTTGAGGCTCCAGAAGAGTGAGGAATACCATTACCAGAAAAACCACTGGGATCTGTTTTGTGCTGTATATAGCTATGAAAGGGAAAGGCCATTTAAAGTCCATTAACTACTCAAAGAGCACCATAAACAGTTTTTTAAAAAAAACAAAACAGATCATCAGCTTCTTATAGCAAAATTCAAGCTTAAACTGTAGTAGGAAAAACCACTGGGCCCATCACCTCCTGGCAAATAGGGGAAGAAATGGAGGCAGTGAGACATTTTACTTTCTTGGGCTCCATGATCACTGCAGATGGTGACAGCAGTCATGAAATTAAAAGATGCCTGATCGCCGAAGAATGGATGCTTTTGAATTATGGTGCTGGAGGAGACTCTTGAGAGTCCCATGGACTGCAAGAAGATCAAACCTATCCATTCTTAAGGAAATCAGCCCTGAGTGCTCACTGGAAAAACAGATCCTGAAGCTGAGGCTCCGATACTTTGGCCACCTCATGAGAAGAGAAGACACCGTGGGAAAAAACCCTGATGTTGGGAAAGAGAAGGGGACGACAGAGGACGAGATGGTTGGATAGTGTTCTCAAAGCTAGCAGCATGAGTTTGACCAAACTGCGGGAGGCAGTGGAAGACAGGAGTGTCTGGCGTGCTCTGGTCCATGGGGTCACGAAGAGTCGGACACGACTAAATGACTAAACAACAACAACAAAGATTAGAAAGCGGGCCTTTAAGTTTTATTGGCCAGTCCTGTGAAACACCCTGCAAACAGAGATTCAGAAGGCACCTTCGGTGTCAACACCTGCTGAAATTTTTTTGGGTCCTCCATATCTATGCAGGCAATTAAGAGTACATCCCCCACAATGGACTATTAATGTTTGTTTTTAATTTATTTTTGTTTTCAACTTGCTTTTAACTTTTTATGACGTTAGTGTATGATTTTATATTTTTATATTGTTGTAAACTGCTGTGATAGATTTTTTTAAAATGCAGCAGTATATAAAGAAAGAATAATTTTTAAAATTGTATGAATGGCAACAAGCAAGACTTCTTTAGAGATATTGTCACTAGAAAACATTCTGAGCTATACATCTCATTAGGACTACCTTTCACCCTCCCAGCTAGGAAGGAGGGCTAATGAGTCTAACATGCTCTAGAAAAAGTCAGCAGCTCCTCTGGTAAAATCTGACAAAGAACATCCTCTTGAAGGTAAGGGATGAACTACTTGAACAGTTACTGGCATAATTATCCTGTCCAATAAAGCCTAATAAGTACCAGCCTTTGTTTCATTTCTCTAAGGATGTCCCAAGATGATTCAGAAAACCAGATACCAATTGATTATTTCCACAGGTTCACTAATCTTGACTTACTTTGTGCTCTCAAAGTGTCTTTTGTCATGGAGTTCCCTACTTGACCAGTAATAACCTGAGCTTCTTGTTCTAGAAAGGAACCACCTCTTTACTTCACATAATGTGCTTGGTTACTATACGCATGACATCCCATTACAATACAGACAGATACCCTATGGTATTTCATTCTATACTTCATACAGCTGCACAGATGAAAATGTCCATAACTAAAGACCCTAATGCATTCTACTTAAACTAGATCCCAACAAAGCATTATGGAAAAACTGAATTATTAGTCTAATTCAGAATATAAAGTACAATTCTATGACAACAGCATTTTAATTTTGAAACCTCCAGTGACAAAGTGAAAAGATGCACTGAACATCTATTATGCAAGAAAAGTTTTAAATGCTTGAGTACATTTGCTGAATGAAATGTGGTTAAGACTGATGTCATTAGTATACAGTGGGAAAGGGGTTATTTCTAACGTTCCAAAGGTTACGCTGCATTAAGACCTTACTCCCAAACTATTATTTTAAATTGGACTAAAGAATAGTAATTGAGTGGTACATTAAATTTTCAAGTATAGGAGAAGTTCAAGCTGCCTGCAGAACTGACAGATACTTCTAAATAAGAATATATGGGTAACTTCAGTTTTCAGTTATGATAAATTATCTAAAGAAATCTCTATTATCCACTTGTGTTTAAATGTTACAGTAGTACCAGATGTTACACATGGCCACAGTTTATACTAAAGACAGAAGTCTCCAGTCAAGGGGAGGAACATAATAAGAACCCTGACAGATATGACCAAATATCCATCTGCTCTCACAAATGCACACACTCCTTAGTTAGGGCTGCAGAAGGTTTCAGAGATATGTTCTTCACAGGCTTTAACTGTATATGAGATTGTGCAGAAATCATTAAGAACATAAAGCTTCATATATTCATTTATACAAATATATTTATATGAATACCTCCTAATGTAGCAAGAAAATGCAGCTTTATGAAAGAGTTTTTTCATTTGGCCTAGGCTACACAGTCACTATGTAAACATTAAGGGATGGATCTGGACTGAGGCTACAATCCTATCTGCACTTACCTGGGAGTAAGTCCCACTGAATTTAATGGGGCTGACTATAGACTTGTTAGATTAGCTGAAGTTACACTCCCTAAGAATTTTGCACAACAAAGGCTATCTGTCAAATCTATGGCCGTGTAGATCATTATAATAGAAGATATATACAGAATTGATAAACATATCTGACTATTTTAATAATGTTGGTATCATGTAGCATTTCCAGATTTCATTGTGCCCAATCCCTTGAACATGTAAATGTTTGCATATAATCTTGGAATCCTTCTGTCATCACATTTTATATAAAGGTGATTAACCTGTGGCCCAGCAGATGTTGTTGGACTCACGACTCCAATTAGCCCCAGCCAGCATGGCCAATGGTCAGAAATACAGGAGCTGTAGTTCAGTGATACTTGTGTGGCCAAATGTTAGTCAACCCTCATTAAGAAGTTCACAAGCAGATAAGAAGATATGTCAAAGCCTTCATTGTCTTTTCCAGTGTTGTATAAGTGGGAGCCTTGAACTTATAAGAACACAGGAAATAATGGATTCATTATATAGCTCTGCATTGCATTATCCTCAAAGGCCGAACAGGATTGTAAATTGCATTGCCTGATATTTTATTCCACATAGCATGAGCAAGTGGTTAAGTGCACTTTTCAAACCTTTATGTCAGAAAGCAGCTTTTGCTACCATTTGAACCCATTAACTTGTCTGCAAAAACAAACAAAAACAACGAGGCCTTGGTTTTTTAGAGCAGTTACAAGACAGACATCTAGAAAGATTTTATAAATCATTCTGTAAGCAGTTCCATTTGAAAGCTGTGGTACTTCAAAAGCTCATCTTATTTATGATACACACCTCTGGATAACACACAATATAATTTTGATTTTTCAAGTCTAAAGTTTATCACATAAAAACATCCAATATACTTCATGTTTTAGCTGAGAGATGGTAGCGACCCCACAGGATCTCAGGTAAAAAACTGGAATTAACTTAATACCCTCAGGTATACATTTTTCCTACTATAAACAGGGTCTAAGTTTTTAATGTTCAAGTCTTAAACAACTGAATCATCCTACCTGGTAATCCTGCTTTGGTTTGATAAAACTGGAAGATTTCCTGGGTTAAATTTAATGTGATTCTTCCACACAATAGTGTAGTTTACACTAAGGTTACCAGACGTCCCCATTTCCTGGGGACAGTCCCCGGATTTACAAATCTGTCCCCATACAAAATCAATTGAAGTTGAAAAGTGTCCCCGGATTCATTGAAAAAAATCTGGTAAACCTTAGTTTACACCCAGCAGATTCTAACCCTATAACTACCACCCAGAATGAGGCTACTATGACTTAACCAAACAGATCTGAACTATGGTGATGCTATTATGGCATAAGAAACTGGCTTAAATTTACACACACACATACACGCATTTTAAAAATTATTTACTTGTATTAAAAATGGTGATTTAAGGCTTTACTCCACAAACATATCCACAAATATAGTCAAGACACACTTTGCACCCACACACTACATCCCAATATTTCTCTGTCAATTCTTGATTCCCTAGTTACTTTGGATAACTAAGAGGCAGAATGGAATAAATACTCACGGTAATACTGTCCAAGAGCTTGGCCATGCGCTTTATTATTTCGCCATGGTGTGCTGGCTGTGTCTGCAGCAGTTTCTTAATTACAACAACACTTTCAGCAACTACTATTTCTGGTAAAGACAAAGACAATAATAATTTTAAAAGAGGAAAATATTCACATAAAATCAATATCATTTAACATTTATCATTTAAATCATTAAAGTATTTAGATGTTTTGAAAATATACTTTATACTTTTGAAAATATACTTTGTAAAATCAATACAATAATTTTGTGTCAGATGCAGATCACTTTCCAAATTTTAACAGATGTCTGTCAAGCAAAATAAAACCATAAAGAGAAGAGGCTTGGCATTCAAAATCTTTAAAGTCTTATTTTCTAGAGCTATGTGTGTTTTACTACTCTTAGTATTTCTATCTTTGATATATGTGAAGCTCTGATAAAACAGATCTTGAGAAACATACAAAGCAATAGCCATAATCTTAGCTTTGTAATTGCCCGAAAAACTGCAAATATGTTTCGAAACCAAGTCATATTGATTTAGGTAAGCAATGTTCTGAAAATTGTTTTCATCAATTTAGCATCTAATTGTGTAATATCCTTTTCCCTGGTTCTAAAAAATAAAGCACACATGCCATTTAGAGTATACTGATGCTCAGGATGTTTGAAATAATAGAGCTAAATAAAGGTGGTAGTTCAAAGATTTACAGGGATGTTATGCAACAAAGTACTTTATTGAACAAGGAATATTCAAAGCTTGATTGAACTAACATACGTTTATAAAAACTAGTAAATCAATCACATTAATGCCAATTCTTAGCCAGGAATTACACTGAAAAGAAAAGGGCAAACCTGACCAAATGTACTATGTTCTTGCTGCAGCCTAATAGGAAAAGCAAGACATTTTATTCAATCTTCCTTCCACTAAACCACATTTAAGTGTGACGAGAACAAGCCACAGTGAACCGTGGGTTTGCACACACTGACACAGCTACGTTTGGAAGCTTCTGCTTATGATTTCCATTAACAGTTTAACAAATTGCCTGAACACTAAAGTATAGTTAATGTTAACTGTTGTTGTTTACACAAGCCAGCTTCATAACCTATGGTTTTAAGTTACTAATCACAGGCAAGCCATATTTCAACCAAATCATATTTAAGATTAAGCACAGTCTGTCAGGTTGGACTCCACAGCTGCAGTTAATCTAAACCAGAAGCAAGAGCTTCTGAACTCCTCCTTATAGCTGAACCAGAGGGGGAGGGGACAGGAATATTGGGAGGGAATGTCTTGCCTTGCAGAAGTCTTGCTGTGGCACATTCTTGTACCCATGAATCCATGGCTTATGCATGATGTCCTAACTACTAATCATCTAAGCTTTTACACCGCTTTCTAGCAAGCATCAGTTAATAATGCCCAATGTTCTCAAAGTCTATCATTTGTATTCTTTACTTCAGGGATGGGGAACCACTGACCCTCCACATGTTGCTGAAATCCAACTCCCATCAGCTCCATTACCAGAAAGGTTTTGCTGCGTGGACTGCAGCATCAAATCCCCAAATGAGCTTACTCCATCAGACATTACTAATAGAACATTGAAATTTCTTTCTGTCTACCTTTAGAACACACTTTAAAGCTACTGAAGGTATCATATGCCAGGAATAAAATTTATCCTATATTATTTGTTTGCAGACTATAACCCTTTAGACACTATCTTTTTTATTTTCCAGAGAAAGAGAAACAACAATTGGTCTTACCTGAAGTGGAGATTTAAGACTGGAACGCTGTAGACAATGGAGTGGGTACATCTCTTGTCAGCTGGCTTCCTCAGTTTTTCAGATTTGCCAAGCAGCCAGGCACTGACAGAGCCACTGAAACAAAAACCAATCCTATCTGCCTACTTCCGCCTTCCCGGCTCAGGAAGAAAAGTGAAGGGGGGGGGGAGACACCGAATTGAAAGACTAAACATAGAGAAGTGCATGACAGAGCAGCATAGGGTGGGGTCCATGGTCTATGGCATTCCAGTCTTAAATCTCCACGTCAGGTAAGACCAATTGTTTTATTTACTTCCTGGAATGCCGCAGCCAATTGAGTGGAACATGCCACAGCGGAGAAAAATATGGGCGGGTCCCAGCTCTGCAGATGCACCAACTATAGAACTTGGTGGAGGACAGTATGACCAAAGGCCACATCACATTGGTTCAATGTATAATGTTTGGAAAAAGTACTAAAAGATGACCAAATGGCCACTTCACAAATATCCAGCAAGGAAGCAATGGCCAAGAAAGCTGCAGATCAGGTGGCGGCAGACCTGGTTGAATGAGCTAATACCTGCGTTGCCCGGGGCAAATTGAGGGAATCATAGGCCAGGAAAATACAGACCCTAATCCACCTCATTAAGGTTGTACTAGTGACCTTGGCCCCTTAGGTAGAAGGATGAAAGGATACAAATAAGGAATCTGTCTTCTGGAAGGGTTTCGTTCGGTGAATGTAAACTTTGAGAGCTGTCCAAGGAATACCACACCTTTTCCTTCATTCCTTCTGAAGGTGCTTTCCAGATTTCATGTCCAACAGGAGTTGGTTCTTCCCACCTTTTTCCCTAGCCCAAAATATCCGAAGGAAAAGGTGTGGTATTCCTTGGATGTCCGCACAGCTCTCAAAGTTTACACTGAGGGTCTGGATGGAGAAGTGTTCCCTGCTGCAATAGGGTGGGTGATACTGGAAGATGGAAGGGCGGAGCCACTGACAGAGTTTGAAGCTCCAACAACCACGGTCTTTGGGGCCAGAAGGGGGTTAGAAGCACCACTCGAGCCTTTTCCCATCTGATTTTGTGAAGAACTCAAGGAAGAATTGATTGCGGGGGAAAGGCTTAGAGCTGGCCTTGAGGCTACAGGGCGATTAGGGGATCCCATGCTTCTGCTTGAGGGTCGTGGAACCTTGAATAATAACGTGGCAGTTGGGGACTGGCTTTGCTCGCAAATAGATCCACTTGGAACAGACCCCAGAGAACTTGATGGAATATTTGTCTGGCTAGCATCCACTCTCCAGGGTCCAGATGTTTGCGGCTCAACCAATCTGCCTGATAGTTGTCATCTTCGGCAATATGTTCCACTGATAGGGAGAGCAGATGGTATTCATCCCAGTTAAAGAGACAAGCGGCTTCCATCTGAAGAGTGACAGATCGAGTGCCACCTTGATGGGTGATACGGGATTTCGCCATGGAATTGTCGGTCTGTATCAGGACGTGGTGTGGACAGAACCACCAAGCAAAGTGAATGATTGATAGTCTGGCCACCCGCAATTCCAGCCAGTTGATGGAGTGAAATTTTTCTAGATCCATCCAGAGACCTTGGATGAACTGGTTCCAGCAGTGGACTCTCCAATGCTGGAGGCTCACATCCATTATAATCAGAGTTGTGAAAGGGGAAAAGCGTCTTCTTGGCCTTCTATCCTGCCTTTGACTAATAAGAATTTTCCTCTTATCCCTTGATTCTATCAGGACATCTTTTAGTGCCCCGTCTCCAAAAAGCTGACTGCCCGAGAAGGGAACGGTGGAAAGATTCACCTTAGATGCTGTATCAGCATTCCAATTTTTTAACCAAAGAGTGTCTCTAGCTGCTACTTGGGATGACATTGCTGTAGCTGCAAATTGCATAGAGTCCATAGTAAAAGGTGAAGGTAAAGGTAAAGGTACCCCTGCCCGTACGGGCCAGTCGTGACCGACTCTAGGGTTGTGCGCTCATCTCACTTAAGAGACCGGGAGCCGGCACCGTCCGAAGACACTTCCGGGTCACGTGGCCAGCGTGACAAAGCTGCACTGGTGAGCCAGCACCAGTGCCGCACACGGAAACGCCGTTTACCTTCCCGCTATAAAGCGGTACCTATTTATCTACTTGCACTTAAGGGTGCTTTCGAACTGCTAGGTGGGCAGGAGCTGGGACCGAACGACGGGAGCTGACTCCGCCGTGGGGATTCGAACCGCCGACCTTACGATCAGCAAGTCCTAGGCACTGAGGTTTTACCCACAGCGCCACCCGCGTCCCTAGAGTCCATAGTGGCATCTGCCATAAAGGCCTGAGCTTTCAAGAGTTTAGAGAAAGTTTGGTATTGTTGGGCAGAATCTTGGGGGGGGGATTTTATAGCAGATCCTCAAGCCACACAATACAGGCTTGGGCACAAGATGTTGCGGTGCAGGAGGCCCTCATAGGCAGGACTGCTGCATCATGGATTTTGCATAGAGCCAACTCAAGTCTCCTATCCATGTTATCATGAAGTTGGGCATCTCCTTCACAGGGAACCAAATGGCGTGAGGAAAGATTCAAAATTGACCTGTCTACCAAAGTTTTAATATAGGCCATAAATTTTGGGTCTAAGGTATTTAATTTATCTGCTAAAATGACATTTTACTTAGAATGCATGGAAGAATCCAGTTCTGACTTCGCAATGGCCTTTAACACTGACAGCACCAAAATGGAATTAGAAGAGGTGCGACTATCAGTTAGTAGGGATATATCGCTATCTGGCTTTGGAGTTAAGGATGGTAATCCAAAAACATGCATAATTTTATGTTTTAGAATGGGAGCACAAACATACAGAGAGAGGCTCATCCTGCACTGATGCACCACTCCTTTCATCATCCATTTCAGTTTCCATAAGGTAGTAGGGGAGGATGAAGAGACATAACCATCATTCCCATCACTGCCCACTAGTGTAAAGGGGTTAGGAGAGGATTCTCCTACATTAGTTCCCACTTGCTGGGGAAAGGAATCTGTCTCTGGTAAGGCCGGTCGCTTGGTGGGAATTTGTAATGGGAGATCAGATGATAGTGAAGCAATAAGTGCTTCTTTCAGCTGCTCAATTAATGGTGCTGGATTGGTAGATTGAGGGTTTTGCACCCCTTGACCATTTATCCTTGGAAAATCCTAAAAATTCTGATTGTGAGTCAGATAAGCTGATGTTAAGATGTCTTTCACCAGTAGGTGGTAGCAAATGATTAGCATTCACATGGCCAACATTGCTTTTAGGTAAGGGGGACTGCACTGTAGCGGAGTCCTGAGATTGAGGAATAGGCATAGGGGAAGGGCGTTTTCTATGAACTGGGGGGCCAGGCTTG